GGGTGTGGGAGAGTGTGGGAGAGTGTGGGAGAAGTGAGGGAGAGTGTGGGAGGTGAGGGAGAGTGAGGGGAAGTGTGGGGAGAGTGTGGAAAGAGAGTGAGGAGAGTGTGAGGAGAGTGAGGAGAGTGTGGGAGAGTGAGGAGGAGGGAGTGAGGGAGAGTGTGGGAGAGTAGAGAGTGAGGGAGGGAGTGAGGGAGAGTGAGGAGGAGAGTGAGAGGTGTGGGAGAGTGAGGGAGAGTGAGGAGGTGAGAGAGTGAGAGAGAGTGTGGGAGAGTGAGGAAGTGAGGGAGAGTGTGGGAGAGTGTGGGAGAGTGAGGAGAGTGTGGGAGAGTGTGGGAGAGTGTGGGAGGGTGTGGGAGAGTGTGGGAGAGTGAGGAGAGTGTGGGGAGAGTGTAGAGTGTGGGAGAGGAGGAGAGTGTGGGAGAGTGAGGAGAGTGTGGGAGGTGAGGGAGGGGGGTGAGGGAGGGGGTGGGAGAGTGAGAGGGGAGGGTGTGGGAGGGTGGGGAGAGTGAGGAGAGTGAGGGAGGGAGTGAGGGAGAGTGAGAGAGAGGGAGAGTGGGGGAGTGTGGGAGAGGGAGGGAGAGGTGGGAGAGTAGGAGAGGAGGGGAGAGGAGGGGAGAGGGAGAGAGAGAGTGTGGAGAGTGAGGGAGGAGGGAGAGGAGAGAGAGGGAGAGAGAGGGGAGAGGGAGGGAGAGTGAGGGAGAGGGGGAGAGGGAGGGGTGAGAGAGAGAGAGGGAGGGAGAGGAGGGAGGGGGGAGAGGAGGGAGGGAGGGAGGGAGAGGGGAGAGGGGAGGGAGAGGTGAGGGAGAGTGGGAGAGGAGGGGAGAGGAGAGAGGGAGAGAGAGTGAGGGAGAGGGAGGGAGAGTGGGGAGAGGAGGGAGAGGGAGAGAGGGGGGAGTGAGGGGAGAGGGAGAGGGGAGGGGGAGAGGGAGAGTGGGAGGGGAGAGTGTGGGAGGAGGAGGGAGAGGAGGGGAGAGGAGGGAGAGGAGAGAGTGGGGAGAGTGAGGGAGAGTGAGGGAGAGGAGAGAGAGGGAGAGAGAGTGTGGGAGGTGGGAGAGGTGGGGAGAGGGGAGGGAGAGGAGGAGAGGGAGGGAGGAGGAGAGGAGAGAGGGAGAGGAGGGAGGGAGAGGTGGGAGAGTGAGGAGAGGTGGAGAGGGAGAGTGGGAGAGTGGGGGAGGAGGGGGGGAGAGTGGGGAGGGAGAGGGGAGAGTGAGGGAGAGGAGGGAGAGGGAGGGAGAGTGGAGAGAGAGGGGAGAGGGAGGGGAGAGGAGGGAGAGGAGAGAGAGGAGAGAGAGGGGAGAGTGAGGGAGAGGGAGGGGGGAGAGGGGAGGTGGGGAGAGTGGGGAGGAGGAGAGGGAGGGGAGAAGGGAGGGAGAGTGGGGGAGGGAGAGTGAGGGAGAGGGAGGGAGAGTGAGAGAGAGGAGAGAGAGTGGGGAGGGAGAGGGAGGGAGTGGGAGGAGGGAGGAGGGGAGAGGGGAGGAGAGGGGAGAGTGTGGGGAGAGGGAGTGGGGAGAGTGAGGGAGAGGGAGAGGGAGGGAGAGGAGGGGAGGGAGGGAGAGTGAGAGAGGGGAGAGTGAGGGAGAGTGAGGGAGAGGAGAGAGAGGAGAGAGAGTGGGAGAGGAGGGAGAGGGAGGGGGAGAGTGGAGAGGAGGGAGAGGGGGAGAGGGGAGAGTGAGGGAGGAGTGAGGAGAGGAGAGAGAGGTGGGAGAGGGAGGAGAGGAGGGAGAGAGAGAGAGGGAGAGAGAGTGGGAGAGGGAGGGAGAGGAGAGAGAGTGGAGAGAGGGGGAGAGGTGGGGAGAGTGGGGGAGAGGAGGGAGGAGGGAGAGAGAGGAGATGGAGAGAGAGGTGGGGAGAGTGAGGGAGAGGAGGGGAGAGGAGAGAGAGGAGAGAGAGGGGAGAGGGGGAGAGGTGGGGAGAGTGTGGGAGGAGGGAGGGAGAGGGAGGAGGAGGGAGAGGGAGGGGAGAGGGAGGGAGAGGAGAGAGAGGGGAGAGGGGAGAGTGGGAGAGTGAGGGAGAGGGAGGGAGAGGAGGGAGAGAGGGGAGAGGAGGTGAGTGGGGGAGAGTGAGGGAGAGGGAGGGGAGAGGGAGGGAGAGGAGAGAGGAGAGAGGAGGTGGGTGAGGGGAGAGGGAGGGAGAGTGAGGGAGAGTGGAGAGGGGAGAGTGTGGGAGGGGAGAGGGAGAGTGTGGGAGAGTGTGGGGAGGGGAGAGGAGGGAGAGTGGGAGGAGGAGGGAGAGTGAGGAGGGAGAGGAGAGAGAGAGGAGAGAGAGGGGAGAGGAGGGAGAGGGGAGTGAGGGAGAGGGAGGGAGAGGGAGGGAGAGGAGGGGAGTGTGGGAGTGAGGGAGAGTGGGGAGGGAGGGGAGGGAGTGAGAGAGGAGAGAGAGTGGGAGAGTGAGGGAGAGGGGAGAGGAGGGAGAGGGGAGAGGAGAGTGTGAGAGAGTGGGGGAGAGGGAGGGGAGAGGGGGAGTGAGGGAGAGGGAGAAGGAGAGGAGAGAGAGTGTGGGGAGAGAGGGGAGAGGGGAGAGGAGGGAGAGGGAGGGGAGAGGGAGAGAGAGTGGAGAGAGAGGGGGAGAGGAGGGGAGAGGGGAGAGGAGAAAGGGGGAGAGGGAGGGAGAGGAGAGAGAGGTGGGAGAGGAGGGAGAGGGGAGAGAGGGAGAGGAGGGGAGAGTGGGAGAGAGTGAGAGAGAGTGGGAGAGGGAGGGAGAGGGGGAGAGGAGGAGGGAGAGAGGAGAGAGAGTGGGGAGAGGGAGGGGAGAGTGGGAGAGTGAGGGAGAAAGGGAGAGTGGGGAAGAGTGGAAGAGGAGGGAGAGGAGGGAGAGGGAGAGGAGAGTGTGGGAAGGAGGAGGGAGAGGGGAGAGGGGGAGAGTGAGGGAGAGTGGGGAGAGTGGGAGAGAGAGTGAGAGAGAGGGGAGAGGGGAGAGTGTGGGGAGAGTGAGGGGAGAGGAGGGAGAGGGAGAGAGAGTGAGAGGAGAGGGAGGGGAGGGGGAGGGAGGGAGAGGGGGAGAGTGAGGGGAGGGGGAGAGGGGAGGGAGAGGGAGGGAGAGGGGAGAGTGAGGGGAGAGTGGGAGAGTGAGGAAGAGTGTAGAGGGGAGAGGGAGAGTGGGAGGGGAAGAGGGGAAGAGTGAGGGAGAGTGGGGAGAGTGAGGGGAGAGGGAGAGGAGGGGAGAGGGGAGAGTGAGGGAGAGGGAGGGAGAGGAGTGAGGGAGAAAGGGAGAGTGGGAAGAGGGGAAGAGGAGGGAGAGGAGGAGAAAGGGAGAGTGTGGAAGAGGTGGGAAGAGGAGGGAGAGTGGGAGAGGAGGGAGAGGAGGGAGAGTGGAGAGTGGAGGGAGAGGTGGGAAGAGGGAGAGGGAGGGAGAGTGAGAGAGAGTGAGAGAGTGTGGGAGAGTGAGGGAGAGTGGGAGAGGAGAGTGAGGGGAGAGTAAATAAAGGGATGGTGATGGACAAGGAAGGGCCTCTCCCCGACTCTCCTCACTGCCCAAAACACACCTCAGTTCTGGTCTCTTATGTGCGTGTGTGTGTGTGTTAAAACCTACAGTACAGTACAGATGTGATCTATTAATATGTCAGTTGGATAATAAGAGTGTGTTGCTCTACAGGTGTGTGTGTGTTGTTATCAGCGACACTACAGCCACCACACACCCGCATCACACACCAGAAGAAGCAGCTGTCAGGGTCAACAGCAGGAGCAGCAGAGTGATGCAGCTGTCAGGGGGTCGTGTCAGCAGGAGCAGCAGAGTGATGCAGCTGTGGGGGGGCGGCAGTGGTCCTGTCCTGCCTATAAAACCTTTACTGGACGTGAGCTCAGCACCACGCCCAGTGTTCGACGGTGCGGCGCCGACCAACGTGTCTGGTCTGACTGGCACCGCGGCTTACCTCCACTGTCTTGTGCACAACCTAGGCAACAGTAGCGTAAGTAACACTGTCTTGTGCACAAACTAGGCAACAGTAGCGTAAGTAACACTGTCTTGTGCACAACCTAGGCAACATGTAAGTAACACTGTCTTGTGCACAACCGCACAGTGTAACTGTTTGTGAAACCTAGGCAACAGTAGTAAACTGTTTGTGCAAGGCAACAGTAGCGTAAGTAACACTGTCTTGTGCACAACCAGGGCAACAGTCATAATGTCGACCCACCAGTCTCTCTCTCCTGTTCACCCCTGTCCTCTCTCCCTCACTGCCTGCCCTCTGTTCACTCTCTGTCTCTCTACCTCCCTGTGTCCCTCACACCTCTGTCTCTGTTCACCTCCTGTCTCCCCCTCCCCTCCCTCTCCACCTCCTCCCCCTCCTGTCCTTCCAAACTCCTGTCTCTCTCCTGTTCACTGTCTCCACACTCTACAGGTGTCGTGGATCAGGCAGAGAGACCTACACATTCTGGACGGTGGCTGCCACACATACAATTCACGTGATCAGTGGAGCAGGTGATCCATTCTCTGGCTCAAGAGACTGATACTCAAGATCAAGTATGTACAGCTCCGTGACTTAACGCATGGAGGTTGTGGGGTGTCAAGCAAACCTCTTATGACATACACCGTCCGACCTAATGTGTATGGTAAGTGACTCAAAGTGTATAGTGACTCAATGTATATAGTGGCTCAATGTATATAGTGACTCAATGTATATAGTGACTTAATGTGTATAGTGACTCAGTGTGTATGGTAAATGACTCACTGTATATGGTGACTCTTTGTGTAAGGTAACCTACTATATATATATGTGTAACTTTCCCGAATTATACTGTAAACACCAACATCAGACTCTGTAAACACCAACATTAAGGGACTCTGTAAACACAAACATCGAGGGACTCTGTAAACACCAACATCAAGGGACTCTGTAAACACCAACATCAGGAGACCCTGTAAACACCAACATCAGACTCTGTAAACACCAACATTAAGGGACTCTGTAAACACAAACATCGAGGGACTCTGTAAACACCAACATCAAGGGACGCTGTAAACACAAACATCAGGAGACTCTGTAAACACCAACATCAGACTCTGTAAACACAAACATCAAGGGACCCTGTAAACACCAACATCAGGAGACCCTGTAAACACAAACATCAAGGGACTTAACCTCAAGTCGTTGCTTCAGGAGAATAAAATCGCTTGGCATTACCCAGAAGACGAAGCATTAAGCAGACCTTGGGCACTGAAAGGGTTAATAAACATTGTATAAACACATTGTCCTGCCCATCTCCTAACTCCACTTGTCCTGCGCATGTCAACAGCCTCTCCACGGGCACATATCATCGGCTCTCCGGACATGCACGTGGACATTGGTTCAACCATCAACCTGACGTGTGTCGTCACTCACAGCTCACAACCTCCAGCCTACGTTTACTGGACCCATAATGACGAGGTGCTGTTATTACTGCTGTTATTATTACTGCTGTTATTATTACTGCTGTTATTACTGCTGTCATTATTACTGCTGTTATTATTGCTGTTATTATTACTGCTGTTATTATTACTGCTGTTATTACTGCTGTTATTATTACTGCTGTTATTATTACTGCTGTTATTATTACTGCTGTTATTATTACTGCTGTTATTATTGCTGTTATTACTGCTGTTATTATTACTGCTGGGTTATTACTGCTGTTATTATTACTGCCGTTATTGATTGCCGTTATTATTACTGCCGTCATTATTACTGCTGTTATTATTGTCATTATTACTGCTGTTATTATTACTGCTGTTATTACGCGCATATACTGCCGTTATTATCGCTGTTATTACTGCTGTTATTATTACTTGCTGTCATTATTACTTCATGTTATTACTGCTGTTATTATTACTGCTGTTATTATTACTGCTGTTATTACTGCTGTCATTATTACTGCTGTTATTATTGCTGTTATTATTACTGCTGTTATTATTACTGCTGTTATTACTGCTGTTATTATTACTGCTGTTATTATTACTGCTGTTATTATTACTGCTGTTATTATTACTGCCCTCACAGTAGTGTACTGTACTGTACTGTACTATACAGCACAGTACAGTACAGTACTCACACTTGTTGTTGGTCTCCCACAGCCCATAAAATATGACTCCCCGCGAGGCGGCATTACCGTGCTGACTGAGCGTGGCAACACTACCACTGGCTACCTCCTGATACAGGTGAGTCACCACTACCTGTTGATACAGGTGAGTCACCACTACCTCCTGATACAGGTGAGTCACCACTACCTGTTGATACAGGTGAGTCACCACTACCTGTTGATACAGGTGAGTCACCACTACCTGTTGATACAGGTGAGTCACCACTACCTGTTGATACAGGTGAGTCTCCACTACCTGTTGATACAGGTGAGTCTCCACTACCTGTTGAAAGAAGTGAAGTACTAACACATAAGAACACCTGAGTTAAATAATAATAATAATAATAATAATAATAATAATAATAATAATAATAATAATAATTTTAATAATAATAACTTTCATGGTCTCCGTCACCACCTTTAACACCCTCGACCCACACCCTCCACCCACACCCTCGACCCACACCCTCCACCCACACCCTCGACCCCCACCCTCCACCCTGACCCAAGTGTTGTGTTGCAGGCCGCCGGGGTCCCAGACACAGGTAACTACAGCTGTTCACCGTCCAACACCTCCGCTGCCACCATCAGAGTACACGTCCTCAACGGTGAGTGACCAGGTGTATGAGTGACCAGCACCAGGTGTGAAGGTGACGTATGTGTGTGTGTGTGTGTGTGTGTGTGTATGTATGTGTGTATAATAATGTACAGGTATGTGTGTGTGTACAATAATATAAACCTCAAATAATGTCAGACGTTAAGCTGTCGTCGTTATCTCTCATAGGGGAGACTCCAGCAGCCATGCAGACCAACGTGGGGGGGACAGCTTCACCCTCCAGTCTGCTCCTGCTGCTGACCCTGACAGCTGCACTACAACACCCCTTCCTCACTATGTACGGCTGTCATCCATATATATGACGGGGTTAATACAGCCGCTGGATGACTGACCCTTCATATTCTACCCTATCTAGGTGGTGGATGAACCTATACTGTCCTGGTGGTGGATGACCTACACTGTACTGGTGGTGATGGATGACCTACACTGTCCTGGTGGTGGATGACCTACACTGTGATGGTGATGGATGACCTACACTGTCCTGGTGGTGGATAACCTACACTGTGGTGGTGATGGATGACCTACACTGTCCTGGTGGTGGATGACCTACACTGTGGTGGTGATGGATGACCTACACTGTCCTGGTGGTGGATGACCTACACTGTGGTGGTGATGGATGACCTACACTGTCCTGGTGGTGGATCACTGTGGTGGTGATGGATGACCTACACTGTCCTGGTGGTAGATGACCTACACTGTGGTGGTGATGGATGACCCACACTGTTTTGGTGGTGGATGAACCTAAACTGTCCTGGTGGTGGATGACCTATACTGTCCTTGTGATGGATGACCTACACTGTCCTGGTGGTGGATGACCTACACTGTCCTGGTGGTGGATGACCTACACTGTCCTGGTGATGGATGACCTACACTGTCCTGGTGATGGATGACCTACACTGTCCTGGTGATGGATGACCTACACTGTCCTGGTGATGGATGACCTACACTGTCCTGGTGATGGATGACCTACACTGTCCTGGTGATGGATGACCTACACTGTCCTGGTGGTGGATGACCTACACTGTCCTGGTGATGGATGACCTACACTGTCCTGGTGATGGATGACCTACACTGTCCTGGTGGTGGATGACCTACACTGTCCTGGTGATGGATGACCTACACTGTCCTTATGGTGATGGATGACCTACACTGACGTCTCCCTGTGTACCTCACTACATCTGAAGAAGTGCCTTGTGTGTGTGTGTGTGTGTGTGTGTTTGACGTACACATTACAGCGTGTACACCAGCTTCTTGTGATGTGTTTATATAACAAATAAGTGTGACAGTAATGTTCTTATGTAACACTTGATGTACAGTATGTATGTTTTAGTGATACAGTGGTCTCTCTATCTCTCTGTCTGTCTGTCTCTCTGTCTGTCTGTCTATCTCTGTCTGTCTGTCTCACTCTCTTTATATCGCTGTCTGTGTCTGTCTGTGTGTCTGTCTGTCTCACTGTACACAGGAGAAGGTAGACCTCTTACATGTCATTAAGATATTCATAACTCGGGCTAAAGAGCGGCCAAGACGTGGTGGTCGCCTCTGTACCGCCTCTACCCCAGCCTCTGTACCGCCTCTACCCCAGCCTCTGTACCGCCTCTACCCCAGCCTCTGTACCGCCTCTACCCCAGCCTGTGTGCCGCCTCTACCCCAGCCTGTGCTTGGCGCCTCTACCCCAGTCTGTGTGCCGCCTCTACCCCAGCCTGTGTGCCGCCTCTACCCCCAGCCTGTGTGCCGCCTCTACCCCAGCCTGTGTGTGTGCCGCCTCTACCCCAGCCTGTGTACCGCCTCTACCCCAGCCTGTGTACCGCCTCTACCGCCTCTACCCCAGCCTGTGTAGCGCCTCTACCCCAGTCTGTGTACCGCCTCTACCCCAGCCTGTGTACCGCCTCTACCCCAGCCTGTGTACCGCCTCTACACCAGCCTGTGTACTCGACCTCTTGTGTGTACCGTACAGGGTGTCTCAGAAAGCTGTACACAGACACAGTTGTACGTGGTGGTCGTGTGAATGTTTGTAATATATTGCCCTCAGTTGTTGATGTGAGGACAGTGTTGGTGTTGTAGTCAAATATGATCACCAGGTAAACACTAAGGCAGTGTGTACAGTTGTATAAGGCGCCGAGTGTACAGTACTGTGTGTTGGAGCTGATGTACGACTGGTGATGTACCTGGCTTAAGGTGACTCATCTTGTGGTACCTAACCTAACCTAACATCAACCTAACCTAACCTAACCTAATCTAACCTAACATTAACCTAACCTAACCTAATCTAACATTAACCTAATCTAATCTAACCCAATCTAACCTAACATTAACCTAACCTAACCTAACCTAACCTAATCTAACCTAACATTAACCTAACCTAACCTAATCTAACATTAACCTAACCTAATCTAATCTAACATTAACCTAACCTAACCTAATCTATTCTAACCATTATGATTGGATTTCTTTATGACTGAAGATAATTATAATTTAGGTGGCCCGGGGACACACAGTGAGGGGTGGCCCGGGGACACACACAGTGAGGGGTGGCCCGGGGACACACACAGTGAGGGGTGGCCCGGGGACACACAGTGAGGGGTGGCCCGGGGAGGGGAGTGAGAGGTGAGAGTGAGAGGTAAGAGTGAGAGGTGAGAGTGAGAGGTGAGAGTGAGAGGTAAGAGTGAGAGGTAGAGTGAGAGGTGAGAGTGAGAGGTGAGAGTGAGAGGTGAGAGGAGAGGTAAGAGTAAGAGTGAGAGGTAAAAGAGTGAGAGGTAGAGTGAGAGGTGAGAGGAGAGGTGAGAGTGAGGGGTAAGAGAGGTGAGAGTGAGGTAAGAGGAGAGGTAAGAGTGAGAGGTGGGAGTGAGAGGTAAGAGTGAGAGGTAAGAGTGAGAGGTAAGAGTGAGAGGTAAGAGTGAGAGGTAGAGTGAGAGGTGAGAGTGAGAGGTAAGAGTGAGAGGTAAGAGTGAGAGGTAAGAGTGAGAGGTGAGAGTGAGAGGTAAGAGTGAGAGGTAAGAGTGAGAGGTGAGAGTGAGAGGTGAGAGTGAGAGGTGAGAGTGAGAGGTGAGAGGTGAGAGTGAGGCATCAGTTCCCGGCGTGGAGGTAACACACAGTCCCCAACTATCATAAGTTCATTATAAGTTATATTAAAATGTTCCTCGGTAACTTTATTTCCACACCTTATTAAAATATTATTAAGAGTTGATGAACACTAAACGAGTATAGTGTTTGTATATTTACACTGTCTATGTACACTGTTCATTGGTGTATAAGGTGTACCATATGTGTAGTGTAACAGGTGTGTGGTGCAGGTGTAATAACAGGTGTGTGGTGCAGGTGTGTGATGCAGGTGTAGTAACAGGTGTGTGGTACAAGTGTGTGGTGTAGGTGTGTGGTACAGGTGTGTGGTGCAGGTGTAGTAACAGGTGTGTGGTGCAGGTGCGTGGTACAGGTGTGTAGTACAGGTGTGTGGTACAGGTGTTTGGAACAGGTGTGTGGTACAGGTGTAGAAACAGGTGTGTAGTACAGTGTGGGTTGCAGGTGTGTAGTACAGTGTGTGTTGCAGGTGTGTGGAGCAGGTGTGTGGAACAGGTGTGTGGAACAGATGTGCACTGAATTCTTCATTATTGGTATAAAAACTTTAAAAATAAACTTAAATGAAGTTAAATCTTGTTAGCGAGTTGCGGCTCTTCCTACTGATCCACTCCCTACTGATCCACACCCTACTGATCCACACCCTACTGATCCACACCCTACTGATCCACACCCTACTGATCCACACCCTACTGATCCACACCCTACTGATCCACACCCTACTGATCCACACCCCACTGATCCACACCCCACTGATCCACCCTACTGATCCACACACCCCTACTGATCCACACTCTTACTGATCCACACCCCACTGATCCACACCCCCTCCACACCCCCACTGATCCACACCTCACTGATCCACACCCCACTGATCCACACCCCTACTGGATCCACACACCCCTACTGATCCACACCCACTGATCCACTCCTACTGATCCACACCCTACTGATCCACACCCTACTGATCCACTCCCTACTGATCCACACCCTACTGATCCACACCCTAATGATCCACACCCTACTGACCCACACCCTACTGATCCACACCCTACTGATCCATTCTCCACTGCCTACCGATCCACTTCCAATTTTGTTCAGTGTTAATGGTGAACAATCAGGTACTTTAAATGTTGTATTAATTACCTTCTCTCCGATATACACCATGTATGTATTATGTATTACTGTATAATGACTGTATAATGTATTAATGTATTTGGGTAATATTTTGTACACTAATAATATTGACTGTATAAGAATTATTCATAAATGGATGGAAAAAGTAAGAGTTTTATTGTTCATAATTTGTGGCCATTCCCCTCCACCTGAATGTGACGTTATGTACACAGTGGAGTAGATTTATGAGTGAATTAAACTATAGTACACCACACCATCACTGTCATCACCACCACACCATCACTGTCATCACCACCACACCACCACATATTCACCACAGTAATGTTAGTTACATGTATGTTAATGCTGCTGACACCGTGTTAAAGCTGCTGACACTGTGTTAATGCTGCTGACACTGTTAATGCTGCTGACACTGTTAATGCTGCTGACACTGTTAATGCTGCTGACACTGTTAATGCTGCTGACACTGTGTTAATGCTGCTGACACTATATTAATGCTGCTGACACTGTGTTAATGCTGCTGACACTGTGTTAATGATGTTAACCTAACCTCCACACAGTCACGGGACACAACAAGCATGAAAAATATTCTGCTTAATTACAAATTTCCTTTGATTATAATGTAAGAGTGTGGCGAGGTGGTGAGAGGTGAGGTAGTGAGAGGTGAGGTAGTGAGAGGTGAGGTGGAGGGAAAAAAGAGAGAGAGAGAGAGAGAGAGAGAGAGAGAGAGAGAGAGAGCGAGAGCTGTGTAGGCTTTCTGGGTCTCAACTTTACTGTATAGTGGTTGTCAAGTTTTGTTATGACTGACGCACACGCACGTACACACACACACACACACACACACACACACGCACGCACGCACGCACACACACACACACACACACACACACACACACTATCATTCTCTCACTAATATTTTTTTCCTCATTCAAATTTGCTCTTAATTTTTTTTTCAGGCCAGAGAATTGGTTTTTAAATTGATAACTGATGGATTAAAATAGTTTATCTCGCTATAAGACCAAAATATAACCGATTTACCGATTTATGGTATAATATAGTGAGTTAGGTGGTAGAGTGCAGCCGGTTACGCCGCCTTGGTGCGCTTATCCGATTTTCTTGGAACTTGACACAGCACAATAGTTCAATCTTGTTCTATAATAGTGAAGTTTGGACCATTTTGTTCCATAGAGCTTCTTATAAACACAGGAATTGTACTGATGTGTGTGTGATAACTTC